AATATTTACTATTATTATTATTATTTATTTGGGGGTTGAAAAGCCATAGTTAATATTTGAATGTATCTTATGGTGATAGTACGTAACTTTCTGGAGATGGAAAGTCAAGTGAATTCCAAAAAGTTAAACTAGTACTTTGGAACATTCTCCATATTCATAAGTAGGTTTTATTCCATACTGTGAAATATTCTAACCAAAGGAACAAGAGGCTCTATCCCACACGCTCACTCATTCACTCACTTTTTTTAGTTTTTTTTGTTTTTGGCTTTTGGCTTTTGGCAATAAGTTATATACTATGGCTTTGATGGATTCTTTTATCAGTGAGGGAGGATGGGATAGGCTGGGTCACACACCTTCTTTCTGCAAGAAAAAATAAGGTAGGGTACATAATAATAATAATTTCTGATGTACTCTTGAACAGCCCTGCAGCCTTTTACTGCGTAGATTAAAAATATTTCCATCCAAGTGAAGAAAGACTCCCACTTCATCTCCTATATATATATATATATATATATTTATATATTTATTTATTTATCAATGTAACTGCAGATTGGAAAAGGACATGGTTCCTGCTAAGTGGACATGTACGACAAGAGCGGTGGTTGTGGCTTTAATTAGTACAGCCTGTATTAGTGAACATGCACTTCTTTACAGGCTATGCTAATCTATGCCAGAACCAGCAAAACCCTGAGTCTGCAGACCTGCTGTAGGAGGGAAACAAACATTTAGAACTGTATTGATGAATGAGAGCAGAGGTAATGGGTGGAAGTATGTAGTGAATGGCATCTTTTCATGTCCTTCAATAATACTCTATGTTATAATTTAAACACTTATAGATCAAAGTACCTTGAGAGACCCTGTTGCTCGCACCTGCTTGTATTCATGGTCTTGCTTTGTCCATTGTTCCACAGTATGGCCTTAAACATATTTCCACATGGACAAGTGGGTGAAACCACAAGGCCAATTTACCGGTCAGATCTGTGGAGAAGTGACACCACTCACAGCATGCATTTGTTTGTAGATGTCCAGTGTTGTCTGAAACATGACCAGCAGCTTGAGTTTGGTGCCCCAAGCCTACCCCAGTCCCCCAGGTGAGACCGCACGTGTCAGACCCCTGTCGTTGGATGATCAGGTTGCTGTGGAAGAATGGAGCCAGTCTGATCAGAGAGGGAACATGAGTTATCTGAACCACACTACAGCACCTGCCCCCCAAGACTTTGACCCACTAGGTGGGCACACAATCTGGCAGGTAGAGCACCAATGTCTTCTGCTTTTTTAATTATAACACAAATTTTAATTATATTGGAGACAAAATTCACAAAATATAATGAATATCAACATAAAAGATTCATAGTTTTCTAAATTACTGTGATTTTGAATGTAAAGCTTTGATAGAGGTGACTGTTCTAAAGAGCTGAGACTTTTAACAGCCTTCCCTGTACTTCCTTATCTTTTTATCTGTATGATCTGGAAGCCTCAGTGCTGACTTCAAACTCTCTCTTGACTGTGCATGCAGGTTATAATAATAGTCTTCCTGACTGGCTCGCTGTCCCTTGTCACCGTGGTTGGTAATATTCTTGTTCTGGTCTCATTCAAAATCAACAAAGCTCTGAAAACTGTGAACAACTACTACCTCCTGAGTCTGGCCTTTGCAGACCTGACCATCGGCACCCTCTCTATGAACTTGTACACCACCTACATCATCATGGATCAGTGGGCTCTGGGTCCTCTTGTGTGCGATGTGTGGCTTGCCATTGACTATGTGGCGAGTAACGCATCTGTTATGAACCTGCTGGTCATCAGCTTCGACAGGTGAGAGACTCACAATGCTGTCTCTTTTCTCAACTGTACATTCTGGTTCAAATCAGTACAATTATGTTCAAATGAAAATGAATTCTTAGTTTGTTCACTTCTTGACACACTGCAGCCAGCTCTGATATTGCTTTGTGTGTGTGTGTTTAGATACTTCTCTGTGACTCGACCTTTGACCTACATGGCCAAGCGCACCACAAAGCGGGCGATGGTGATGATTTGCCTGGCCTGGTCCGTCTCCTTGGTGCTCTGGGCTCCAGCCATCTTGTTTTGGCAGTACATTGTGGGAGAGCGAACAGTGCAGCCCAAAGAGTGCTACATACAGTTCCTCTCAGAGCCCATCATCACCTTCTGCACAGCCATTGCTGCCTTCTACCTCCCCGTGTGCATCATGAGTGTTCTCTTCTGGAGAATTTACCAGGAAACAGAGAAGAGGGCCAAAGATGTGCAGAGTCTTAAGGGCTCTGGGTCTGCTCCGAGACCCCCACAAACAGAGAAGGCCGTGCTGCGCCAGATGAGCTCCCAGAGCTGCAGCAGTGTAGAGCTGAACCAGAGCCAGGAGGAGTCCAGACAGGGCCACCCCAGAAGCAGTGGCCACGCACTGAGGGCTTCCTGTTGCCCTGTCTTTCCCAAAAGGTCCCCCCATGCTCTGAGAGCAGTCGAGCACAGCAGCTCTGACACTGTCAACAGAGTGTCCACAGGGAGAGACACCCCCCGGCCTCCAGCAGCCCAACCAGGTCAGGACACCACATTCTGTTCACTGCCACAAAAGAGATTCAGAAAGTTTAAACAATGATAGTTATATTTGTTATTATAGGTTTACTCATACGAATTATCACCTTTCTAGACAAAACCAGGAGCCTGGAGAAACAGCCCTCTTCAGGGATCCAGAGTGTGCAGGCCCCCTCCATCAGCATAAAGGAAGCAGCAGTAGCCAAACGTTTGGCATCCAAAGCCAAGAGTGAGATCAACAAGCGAAAAAACGAGAAGAAGGCCAATGAGAAGAAGGCAGCTCGGACTCTCAGCGCCATCCTCCTGGCGTTTGTGACCACATGGCTGCCATACAACATCATGGTGCTGGTGAACACCTTCTGCCAGGACTGTATCCCTGACAGTCTGTGGGCCCTGGGCTACTGGCTCTGCTACGTCAACAGCACCATCAACCCCATGTGCTACGCTCTCTGCAACAAAACCTTCAGGGACACTTTCAGGGACATTTTGCTGTGTCAATGGAGTCAGCGCAAGAAGGCCAGAGCAGCAGTCTTCCGCAGATAAAAGCCACTGTGAAAATTTAGACTGTGTTCTAATAATGCTGTTTTGAGCAATTAGCTGAAAGAGAGCATTAATTTGTCAGGGTCACATGAACTTTATGTTTGTCTGGGCAGAAATTAATTTCCAATTTGAGTTCAGAGGTGTTGCGTTCCACCAGACTAGATAACTGCTCAGGGCCCCTCTGTTTTACCATTAGGAGCCCTCAGAGAACAGACTCTCCTTTGGCCAATTATACAGCTTCAATATAGTAGGAATTTTCATTGACTAAGCAGTAACTATTGACTACAACAAAGGAGTAATGATACTAAAGTAGCTTATAATTATTAAAGGGTTTCTATTGTAAATGGTGTTTGGAATTAACACCAGTCTTGATATTAACTTACTACTAAAACAGAATAATTTAATTCTTAATCAATACGGAAAAGTGGTGTAATGTGACTGTTGTACTTAAAGTTATACTTTTGAAATGCTACATTACCTGACATTACAGCAGGGCATTCTCTGTTATGGGCCCAAACCAGTACCTGGCTACAGCTAACAGAAAGTCATTTTTATTTTCACCATAAAAACAAATGTGTGGGGCTGTGTGGATATACATTGTCTGAATGTTGTTTTTTTTTAATTATTATTATTTTTTATGGTACATAGTGGACTAGTTTCTTCAGTCATAACTTAACACTTCAATATGGTACAAGCCTGTTTGTTGTTGCTGTGAGACTTTGTTAAACCATAATTTCATACTACACATGAGATGTTTTATTTAAATTATTTACATTTTGCTACATATAACATGCATGTTCTGAGGCCCAAGAGTTCTTACAGCACTGCGTAAACAGCCTCTAAATTGTAAATTACTCCATGATCCTTTTCTGTCAATTCCCAGCACACAGTGCTTTTATAATAAAGATTTGGGTAAAAAAAAATGTGTTAGACTATCAATTCTGTATAAATATATATATAAATATATAAATATATATGTGTGTATATATATATATATATAAATATATATGTGTGTATATATATATATATATATATATATATATATATATATATATATATATATATATATATATATATATATATATATATATGTGTGTGTGTGTGTGTGTGTATGTATATATATATATATATATATATATATATATATATATATATATATATATATATATATATATATATATATATATGGGGATGAAGACTAGCGTCTTAGAGTCAGTGTAGTGTACTGTTAACGGTATTTCATGAAAGCAACGTCAGTGAGCGCACACATCTACATTATTTTAATTATTTTACATTGAAAGACGCAGTCCCGTTCCATGTCACACGAGGGCGCTGCGAGCCGCGTGGATGAGGGTTGCTCTTTGTTCCGCATCTGTAGCATGTGCATGAGCGGGCACCTTTGTTGTCCGGTCAGTGATGATAAAATAACATGAACAAGTTGTGGTGATTTTGCATGTACTCTGGGTTGGTCCTCTGATTGTGTGTCCTGATACTTTAAGAATGGGCTCTCAGTGCACTCTGGGTAATGTATGCTCTTGTGTGAGTATGATGGGAAATGTAGTAGAAGCTGACTGCAGTGTGTCTGTGAGCTTCCCCCACCCAGACCCCTGTGTTTCCTCCAGCAGCATCTCCTCCCATCACAGGCCTTTGTGCTCCTTAGCGGCTGTACCAGTCACAGAGACCCCCAGCCCTGTCCCCAGAGCAGGCAGTGGGGGTGGGGAGGTAGAAGGGGCTGAAGACAGCAGTGTCTGCATCAGTGAGAGCATCACAACCTCACAGCCTCGTCACCGGAACACAGCAGACGTAACCACAGCCTAGCATCACAGCCTGAGCTGCAGTGCTTCAGAGGCTGCACTGTGGTGGAGGGGACAGCCATGGCCTGAGCCACCAGTCTTTATTTGCCTCACAACGTCAGCATGGGAAACCAGGAGGCAAAACAGCGCAGAGCTAATGGAAGTTGCCCTTCTTTGGACGATGGAACCAAGGATTTATCAGGAGAGCGCAAAGGAGGAAAGAAGAACCATGGTAAACAGGGAGGAGGGGGCCCACATGGCACTGCCAACAAGAGGAAAAACAAATCTGAGTCCAAGTCTGTGTTCTCCATCCGTAAGAAGAGAGGCCAGCTCAAAGGCAAAGGCTGTTCGTCTGTGAATGGCTCCAAGGAAGATGTGTTGGCAACTCCACAGCACAGCCAGGACCCCACCAAGACCCCAGACCTGTCCGCTGATGAGCTGGGGCAGTCTGACAATGAGGGTCTTGCCCAAGAGACCCATGGAAAGCCAAACCAGGAGGAGGCAGGTCACAAGGGGGGCAGCTCAGGCTCCGACACCGACATCTACAGCTTTCACTCGGCCGCTGACCACCAGGACCTGCTCGCAGACATCCAGCTCACCATCCGCCTCCAGCACCAGCAGCATGGGGGAGTCCGGAGCAGTGCTCACACCCCCACTGACCCAGACACTGAGCGAGGCATAGGAGTGGGCATCGGAGGGCAGAGCAATGGAGGTGTCTACCTCACACCTCCTGAAGCTGTGGACTTGACCCCAGAGCTGGAATTGGGCTCTGATGCACTGTCCTTTCTGGACACTGGGGTGGGACACCCCCCTGAGGAGACTGTAGAGACCCTGCTGCCCTGTCAGGAGAAACTCTCCCCCATTTTACACCCGGACTTGGCACGGACTGAGGACGAGTGTGCGGACACAGAAGCCCCTGTTTGTGCTGCACCCGATCTGTCCCTTCACACCACTGTTACCATGACAACATGTGGAGGGTCCATAGGCAGCCCTGTCACTATGACAACCGCTGGCTTCACGTTTGTCAGTGCTGATGAAGCAGCTCCGGAGGAACACGTGGGGCAACTTGAAGAGTGGGGTGCTCCTGTGGTAACGATGTGTATCAGTCAGGACGGTCCCCTGGAAGAACTCAGCTCAGGGGCTAAAGGTCATGTGGGGTCAGGGATGAGCGCTGAGTCTTTGGACGACAGTGTTACTACAGAATCTGAACACAACCTCTCTGTGACCGACCACACAGCCACCTCCACTCCACAGCACCGCAGGAGCCCTGTGACCCCACACGAGAGCCCCTCTTTGGCCAAGAGAGGCCTCAGGCCCAGCCAACCCCCCAGTCCTGTAGTGAAACCCTATCCAGCCATCATCCCTTCATACATCAAGACCACCACAAGACAGCTCAGCTCCCCAGGACACTCCCCCTGTCACAGCCCACTGTCCCCCCGACGAGACACCCATATGCTGCACAGGTATATTTATTATTTACCGCCACACTATTCATTTTACTATTTCTATCTGTTAACCTTCCATCCACTCTTTGCTTGTTGCAGGACACTAGTAGAAAGCCGCAGACTGCACAGACACCGCTCTCGCAGCAGTGGGAGGCCCCTGAGCCGGTCTGCAGACTGGACAGAGGAGCTGAGGGTGTCCCGTGAGCACGATGAAGTCTCTGGAGTTTCCAGAGACTTTCTTGAGGCCCACAGGGGTGGCAGCCAGCCTCTCTGCCCCACGCGGAGGTCCTCCTGTCAGAGCAGCATCTGCATGTACCCAGATGTTTTCACAGGTGAGAGGAATGTCCTTCAGCATGATGCTTCACTGCAGCTTTGTCAGAACATACCCTAATATGTCTTATGTTAACCAAATGTAATTTATTCCTTTATTTGTTTGTTTCTTTACTTATAATTAATATACATGGTCCAACTGAGATCATGTTCAAATAGTTATTTTAAAAATTAGAATAGCATTATTGAATTAAGTAAAAATTATGTTTTGTATATTTTGTAAATTTTGTATATCATATTTGTCCTATATACTGCTACACTAAAGCAATGACAGAATAGTTACGGGGTAATCCTCATACTGAGTGTGCCGCAGGTCCACACTTCTCTAATCAGGACTGTAAGAGAGCTATTAAACTGATTTGGGTTTGATGCTGTGTGTGTGCAGGGAGGACTCTCTTGGAGAAGCTCTTCCATCAGCAGCAGCAGGAGCAGCCCGAGGAGGCTGAGCAGCTCTGCTCCAAAATCCTGGCCATGGGACTGCTGCAGCCCTTCACTGACTGCTTCAGAGAACCTCTGGGGGACAGCATGGGCCAGCTGCCCACAGCAGCCAAGTTCCACGTAGGTGACAGTGCTCGTTACATCGTCAAACATCAATCTTTACTTCTTCTCTCTAATGAGACATTATAATGAAATTGTTACATATTGTAAAATGTAGATCTTTACAACAGAGTAAGAACATGATAACGAAGTGCAATTATATGTAATTACATAGAAATTACATACAAATAATTATATAGAAATTAAATTAATAATGAAAACAGAACATATCTGTGTTTATAAGTCACAATTCACCCCAACTCTAGCACCAAACCAAATAAAACTATCATCCAGAAATTTGGTAATAGTATTTTTGTGAAAACACTTATCAAACTGTTTCTAAGTCCATTCCATTTAGTTTCTCTGTGCCCACAGCATGACCAGCTGTACACTTGGGCAGCAGTGAGCCAGCCTCCACTCTCTCTGGAGGCTCTGGAGATGAAGGGCCATCTCCGAGCAGCATTCAGCCCAGTGCGACCAGGGGACAGCAGGAGGCCGAGCACCGCCACAGAGGCTGGTATGAGCTCTTCAATACCGTATATTACACAGCAGCCATACGATGATGTTTCCAAAGATGTTATGGTTAAGGTTGAGGTACCTTAACCTTAGTAGATATGTTGTTAACTCCAAATTGACAATAGTATTAATGTGCAGAGGTGTATGTACACTGTCATGATGTTTGTTACACTTTTCCTAGCCAGGGTGAGTTAATTATTAATTTAATATTGAAAAAAATTACATAGGATAAAATCAGATATATTGCTTTAAGTGTTTATGGTACATGTTCATTTTATAAACCTGTTTATAACACACTGCAGGCCTCTCAGTGACAGTGCAGATTCAAAACCCTCTGCTTTATATTTTTTTACAGAGCACTCATCCAGTTCAACTCAACAGGAGAGCCAAGAATGTCAGGTCAGTCCTACATTTGAAACAAGATTTTCAAAGGTGCAGTTACCTAATTTACCAGTGTCTTTGAGGATTGAGTAGTTCAGCAAAGTTCTTTCTGAAATCCTTTCTTTTAGGAGGAACATGCCCTGAAGGCAGCAAACCTGAAAGAGAAACATGTGAATGTGATTCAACAACTGGAGCAAACCATAGAGGACCTCCGCACTAAGATTGCTGAGCTGGAGCGACAGCCCCCCCTGCTGGACACTAAAGTTATCACTGTGGAGCGGGAGTGTGGGGGGTGTGAGCCAGCCCTCATGCCTCTGTGTGATGCCCACCTACAAACCAGCCCGTGCTGCCTTCAGGTGAAATCAGTGCAGACATCTCCAATAGATGAGAAATTCAGCTTCAAAGTACCTTCCTGTAACACAACTGCAGTCAGTGGTCTCCTACAGCAACCTGCCGGGACAGGTGCACCCGTCTGCTCCTGTCAGATGCAGCCGCCTCCTCCGCTAGGACTTTCAGATGCCGCTTCCACTCCACCAACCACACTCTCTGGTCTCGCTCCTCCTCCTCCTCCACCCCTACCGCCCCCACTCCCTGGGACTGCTCCTCTACCCCCTCCACCTCCTCCACTACCTGGAGCTGCTGTGCCTCCCCCTCCTCCCCCTCTACCTGGGGCTCCTCCCCCTCCTCCTCCACTTCCAGGGGCAGCTCCTCCTCCCCCTCCACCTCCACTTCCAGGTGCTGCTCCTCCACCGCCTCCTCCACCTCTACCTGGTACTGCTCCTCCTCCTCCCCCTCCTCCCCCTCTCCCTGGGGCTGCTCCTCCGCCTCCTCCCCCTCTCCCGGGTGGCGTTCTTCCAGGTGCAGTGTGCATACCCCCTCCTCTCCCCCCAGTTTTCGGCTCTCTTCCTCCTCCTCTGCCTTTGGGACTATACTCTTTGGGTCTGACCCAAGAAAAGCCTCCTCGAAAAGCAGTAGTGGAGCCCCCCAAACCAATGAAGCCCTTATACTGGACCAGGATTCAGCTGCACACCAAAAAGTATGCAATCTTTTAAATAATGCATGTGCATGCAATGCATCCATAGGAAAAAATTGCTTTTGCCCGCATCTGGTAGAATGACTTCACAAGATGGAAGAAGGTTGTGTTAAAGAAAATCTAAAGCAAGAAAACCGGTATGACGTGTAGATAATAGAGATTTTTGGAGAATAGAGCAAGCAGATATCCAAAACAATGACTCATGGATTAAATGCATTAAAAGTAAGGCTAAGCATTAAATTCTACTTTTGGTGGGTTCTTGTGTATTTGCATCCCATTTGCATTCAAATGGTAGACTATACTTCTCTACTTTGCCTAAATCTCTAGGCATTCTATAGACCAGGCAAAGTTGAGAATAATACCTGGTTGCTTCAATCATTCTAACTTCTAAGTTCTATATAGTGAATTTATTTAGCAAGGTACAAAAATGTGAAAATAAAAGCCTCAATGAAGTTTGATGAGAGTAGTGGGGTTTTATGTCTGGAGCCATACATTGCAGATTCAGTAAAGTTACTTCTTCCTAGGGAAGTCTCCACGTCATCAGTGTGGGAAACCATCGAAGAGCCTGAAGTCGACTTTGAGGAATTTGTGGAATTGTTCTCCAAGACTGCGGTGAAGGTGAAGAAACAGCCTCTCTCTGATACCATCACCAAGTCCAAGGCTAAGCAGGTCAGTTTTCCAGGATTGTTATTTTTTCTAAAAGGAGATGTGTGGTTGTAAGCGTTGTGGGCCTATTTCAGTTTGAGAGTCTATGTGAAATGATCATGCTGCTAGAATGTGTAATGCACAAAATTATACATACTTTGTCCTGTCAGATCTGTGTGTTCCAAAATAATTACATAGAGGTTTGAGGGGCTCAGACAGTTTACTAAATGTCTCTTCCCACTCTTCACTACCACACTTTCAGACCTAAAAAAACAAAACAAAAAAAGGATGTAGCCTGCCTTTTACTTGTGATATACATAAGATTCAGACAGTGAAACTGTACAATTGTGTACAGTTTCACACTAAATAAAGGTTAGATTTTACATTTCATATATTTTTTGAGAACATGCCAATATTTCATGCAGTTTTCATGCAATTTTTTTAGGTTGTAAAACTTCTTAACAACAAGCGCTCTCAGGCAGTAGGAATCTTCATGTCGTCACTGCACCTGGATATGAAGGACATTCAGCACGGTCAGTTTGTAAATACTCCATACATATATAATGTACTAAAATAAAGTTCATGCGAAAAGCTCTGTTTGTCACTCATGTGCTTCACTTTGCTCCAACCAGCCGTGCTCAACCTGGACTACACTGTGGTTGACTTGGAGACACTGCAGGCTCTCTATGAGAATGTGAGCTACTGAAATGTATTTCATTTTTTTGGTATTTGGTAATGAGCCTTAATAAAACATTAACATTATTAAGAAAGATTCAGGCTTAGAAACCACGTTATTCATACCTTATCGCTAAATGCTAACCATAACCCCTTAATTAAGTAGTTTCTAAGCCTGAATCATTCTTTATAAACTATTTGTTCATTATGAAGTCTTTGTTAATGCATTATAAGGGTAATTAAGGTGTATTTATTATAAAGTGGTACCCAGTTTTTCAATGGTATGATGACAAGCTCCTTGTGTATTTTTGCTCTGACAGAGGGCACAGCAAGAAGAGCTGGACAAGATTCAAAAACATGTGAAGACTGCCAAAGACAAGGACAGCACCAAGCCCCTGGATAAACCTGAGCAGTGAGTAATTCACCTGCTGCTCAAAAACTGTCCCACTCACACTGGGGTAGGGCTGTTACCTCTGCACCTCTGCCTCACAGCATGAAGGTAATGAGTTCAATTCCCAGTTAGTGTGAGTTTGGAGTTTGGATACTCTCAATCCTACCCTGGTGTTCCTACATACCACTGAAAAATATACGCTGGGCCCTAGGGTTGTCAAAAAATGTATACCCAGAAACTAATCAATACTGAAACAAATATCCATATCAATACAAAAGTTACATACAAAAGACAAAACTGGACATTTCCCGAATAGATCTATAATCATTGTGACCTTTCTGAATTATTACTATTAGAAAGAAAGTACTACTGATATTTTGTGTTGACAATTACATTTAATTGTCCAAAGCATTGTGTTTTTATATCATTGTGGCATCAAAATTGGTAGTATCAGGTCTTTTGTAAATACAGTGTGAAATTTTAGTATTATTGCCCTAATGCGCCAGGGCTGGACTGTATATAGGAGAATGTAACTCAGTGAATCTTTTTTGATTAACTGTGCCCTTGGTAACATTTCTGGTGGAGGGTCTGCCACTTGTCTCTATGGAGATGTTATTGCTTTGGAATGTTCCATGGTGTCATTAAACCTAAACCGTGGCAACAGGCATGGGATGACTGTCCCGCTTACAATAAGAATACATGTTTACATCTCAAGGCATTTTTATAATAATTAAAACTGCAATTAAATAAATATAAATGCAAACTAGATCGATGTAATGACATACTGTGTAACATTTCAGGGTCCAGTAGAAAAATTACATTGTACACCTTAGATGCATTAATACTAATACACATTCCCATAACTTCTATTGCTCACTCACACACATACAACTTGAAACTATATACCACTTTTACAGGTTTTTGTTTGAGCTCTCCCTTATACCAAACTTCTCCGGGCGAGTCTTCTGTATCCTGTTTCAGAGCAGTTTCAATGAATGCATGAGTTCAATAATGAGGAAGCTGGAGGTACTGCAGAGAATGTGCACGGTAATATTTATATTATTTATATGTGTTGTACAAAAGTACAAAACTCTATAACCACTGAACTGTGCTGTAGGCTCTGAAGGACAGCGAGACCGTAAAGCAGGTCTTGGGGCTAGTTTTGGTTTTTGGGAACTTTATGAATGGTGGAAATCGAACTCGAGGCCAGGCGGATGGTTTCACACTTGATATTCTTCCCAAACTAAAAGATGTTAAGAGCAGTGTGAGTACAGCGTATCATGAATTTCTTTATAATATATGCAAAACGTCTTAATCAAACACTGTGTTTTGGTTCCAGGATGGGAGCAAGAGCCTGTTGTCCTACATCGTAAGATACTTCCTCCAACACTTCACTGAGGTATGTCCATGATCTGTCCCTCTTTATGTGTGTGTGAGTCTTGTCTTGACTCATTTATAATATACCCAGTTAAAGAGTGTGTACCTGTAAATTATTCTTGTTAAAGTAAATGCTCTTTACATCATGCATTGTATGGTAAAAGCTGCTAAATAAGAAAAAAGAGACCTTAAAATAGAATCTATTCATTTTACATTGCACGTAATAACTACAGAGGGGCACATACAGAAAACAGGTTCACCTTTTTCACCCAATCAGGCATAGGATTACTAAGAAACACAGGAAACCAACTGCCTGACACTGTACCAGACAAATTCATTCTCTGTCATGGTGCATTTTCAAGAGGAACACTGTATCAGACAGTTGTTTGTGTGTCAAGTGGACAGGGCTCAAAGTTCAAACAAAATATGTTCTTAACTCCGATGTCATTTATTCATATGGTTTCAAAAAAGAAAGAGAGAAATATGAGTCATTATTCATAACAGTGTGGTTTAACACTGTGGTTTCTGTCTGGTCTTGTGTATGGCAGGACGCTGGCCGAGAAACCTGTCTCTTTCCTCTCCCAGAGCCTCATGAGCTCTTCCAGGCTTCACAGATGAAGTTTGAAGATTTTCAAAAAGACCTGCTGCGACTTCGCAAGGATCTGAGAGGTACTACTCACTCCCTGTGCTTTTCTACAAACTGATTTCATGAACAGATTTAAACTTGTGACCTGTGTGTTGTGTCAGCGTGCACAACAGAGGTGGAAAAGGTTTGCAGCGTGTCTGAAGAGGAGCATCTACAGCCATTCAAAGATAAGATGGAGGAGTTCCTTTCGCAGGGTAAGTTCTGCTATATTTTAATTTAGAGTTTAATGTTAAACAATAACTTTAAGCCTATTTTCTTTTCAGCTAAAAATGAATTGGAAACCCTTGACTCTCAGCTCAGCAGCACACACACTCTGTAAGTCTTTTGTGCACATTACAAACAAATCTATACTAGATCTAGATAAATAAATAAATCTTTACTAGCCCAAATTTGTGTTCTCAGCTTCCTGGAGCTCACTGTCTTCTTCTCGGTGAAGGCCAAAGCTGGAGAGAAGGAGGTGTCCCTGCAGACCTTCTTCAGCGTGTGGCATGAGTTCTCCTCTGACCTCAAAGACCAGTGGAAGAGGGAGAACAGAGCCATCCTAAAAGAGAGGTGTCACTACAGCATCCTTTGAGAGCACGGTCCTAACTACAGACTCCACACTAAGCTCTGTGTCTGTTTCAGGCTCAAGGCAGCAGAGGAGAGTTTTCGACAAGTTAAAGAGAAGGCATCGTACAGCGTCAAACCCAAGCAGTCATCTGGCATTGTATGTTTAATTGTGACTACTCCAGTGGCTTTCTGCTCCCACAGGAAATACATACCACTTATAATAACAATGTTATATCTCCTCACAGAAAGCTAAACTGGGAATGAAAATCTGACATGAAGGGACCATAACGGACACTGGAAAAGAATAAATGAGAGAGTTCATCACAGGCATTACACACATATTATACGTGTCTGGGGCCAGGACACCTGTCTGCTCATGATCTGAAAGTAGGATGCTGATTTGCCTTTATTTTTATTTTTGAATGGATGTAATACCATACAAATGTCTTAGTGCCTGCAACCACACTATGCTACACTACATATAATGTTCTAAAAAAGCACACATGGCTCTTAAAAAAAGAAATAATGACAATAACTTTCAATTAAACAATTCTGTTTACTGAAACACTGTAATATCGCCAGCCAGCCCTTCCTGCTTTCTTTTTCAAAGCACATGAGTCTGATTTTCCAGTGAACTTCTCGTCTTAAATTAAATTAAGTATTTTTCATCACCTCTTTTTTTATTATGGAGACCTAATCAGAGGACCACGTTGATGAAATAGTGGCTCATAGGCAACCCCTTCCATTCAATTTATTCAGCAGGGACAGTGCATGTTAATGAACATACATGAGGGCATCACATTAATGTAAACACGCCGGATTATGTCCCTCAGACTCATATAAAAACAGTTACAGTCCATTATACTCTACTACTACTACCGCATCTTCACAATACACACTTTATTAAAGTTTCACACATTCACAAGTGGATCAATCAAGAAACACTAACTATTACAAAAACCACCCACTAGATGTACAACTTTTTCACACACACCGATGCAAATGTGAAAGATGTCAGGTGGAACCAAAAGCGCTATTATAGTTCTGCCCTAAACACCATAGGGAAGTGACAGAAACATGCCCATATCGACTAAAGCTGTAGTTTGATCCAGTACTCTCCAAAAAAAAAAAAGAAAAAAGAAAGAATAATAATAATTTCAGCTATCACTTTCACTTTTGAGAATAAATTACGTAAATTCATAATGTGACTGGAAATTTAAGGTTCAGTCACAAAAACTGTCTGTTACCAAAAGAATATTCATACACATTTTAAAGTGATTTACCAGCAACACTTGCAGTGCCATGAATGACACATAGAAATTTTGTTCATAGTGCACTACTGAAACAGAGTCTAAAGCCAGCCATCAGCAACCACATGAAAAACTTCTCTCATTCATGAATGTATGTTTTCAGTATTCAGTGCTTTAGACCTTGTTTCCTGAATGTCATTAGATGTGTCCAGGTACAACAGAGGGAGAAATATGGAAGAATGGTGCTCAGCTGGGTTTTACCGTGTAAATATGAATCTGTGCAAATGTATTGTATATAGCAGACCTCATCAATGTAAAGTAATAAAATGTCTAAAATGTGTCCTCTGTGCGTGTGTGCCTGCTTTTGCATGCAGATCACCTCACTTCAGCTAGTTCAATCAGACAATTGTAAATAAGCACTAAAGCTTTTACACATAAATTATATATCTTTATGTTTGTAGTTTTTTAGAAAAAAAAATTGCAACTTGTTTTGAGTAATGTCAGTGGACTTTGGTCAATGGGCAGTTTTCTGGGTGATGTCTTCCACAGGTAGAGTAGGCAAAAATTCAAAGTAATCTTCATAAAACTTAAATAGAAGTTCAAAATGCTAGTGTTATTGGGCACATCAATACAATGGCCAAGATAAAAACAGCTCGAGAAAACAGATGGAGAGTATCTTTAATAGCTTCAACCCTTATCAAAAACACCTGGAGTTTTTTATTCAAGTGTTCAGCTCTGGGTTTAAAGTCCACATACCTCGCCCAGCTCGATCACTGATTCGGAGATTCTGTTCTGTGTTCAGCTACTCTCCAGCTTTGTGTGCACACATATTATCATTTGTAATTCACCATTCAACTTGCCAAACATATTTCCATGACAACAGTTCTTGAGTGAACAGTGGGCTTACAATTCACATGCTTTTTACATGATCTATAGAATATTTCACTATTTCACACTTTCTCTCCAAGAGAGAGCTGAACTAAATGCTTATATGAATGCCTGTGATACAAGAGATAATTTTCTACATAGATTGGTCATCATAAAATCTCAAATCTAACCCAAATAGGAGTCTGGTTGTGCTGCAGAGTACTTTAAATTGTAATACAACTCTCTCATTAGCAACTGAAAATGAGAGAAAATTTGAAATACATGGTTTGATATTTCAAAAGATTATCAAAATAAACCAACATGCCACTCTGAACATGTACCACTTTTTTTTCTTTTTTTTTTTTGACCAGTTTGTACCCTCAGTGGGGTTAAGGTTTGGGCTTTGTGGTGGCAAATTTACTGGGAAATATATCAAGTGTATTCTAACTGAACTCCTCCACAACTGTTATAAAAACATAAATTAATTATTTTGGATACAAGTTGTAAATTAAATAAGTAAAGACCTGGTGGCTTCAAGAAGTGTAAGTACTGCTCATAGGTCTCAGCATTCTGTTGTATTTCTGTTAGACTGTTGACCCTTCAAAAGATAATATTTTGTTTTGAACAGAATCCTTTGCCATGGATACTACCTGGACGACCGAGGGATTTTACCAGCATCTTGAATTTTTAAAGATTCTATATTATACATACAGATACTTACATACAGATGCTTGTGAGCAGTGGCGATCCTACACTGATTGGCACCCTGGACGAGACCCCCTCCTGGCATTCCAGACAGAAAAAAGTGAGGACTGGAGGGGGGCAAGATGCCACCAAGGTGGCTGCCTCTTCAGTAATCAGCACTGCTCTGCCCAAACAGTGGAGACAGTAAACAAAGAGCAGGAGGTGGGAGGGGATGAACTGGGTGAGAAATAACATCACACTCAAACCACCTTAAGAATGCTCAATCATGGTTACTGGGATGGGGACCTCTGAAACAACCAGTGGTGGAAGAAGTACTAAATTTTGTTCAGTAAAAGTATCACATGAAAAAAAATCTACTAAATTGCTATCAAAGTACCTGCTTAAAAAATGTACTTAAAGAGTATAAAAGTAAAAGTATTTCACGCAGATTTTGAGATTTAATAAAGCTTCAAATGTAGTGATGACAGAAACAACTGAATTTATTGACTGATTTGATTGATAGCTGTTTTTATTTTTATATTTTAGTTTGCTCAAACTATGAACTTGATTTAAAAAAAAAAAAAAATCCTGCAGTCTTTTCAGCAGGTCTCAAACAATAATGAAAAAGGGCCCGGTCAAGCAGAAGTATACACCAAGGCCAAAAATTCAAGTTAATACAACTGATATAAAAATGTATTCAACAGATAGCATATGTACTCTAGTTTATGAAACTGTTTACCTTTTTTCTGTACCATTTTTGGTTCTAAAGTTACATACGTTTTAAACAGACCATGTATGAAACATGGAACAAAAATTATTTCCCAAATTTCAAAGACCTGCAAATTATGTAAATAAATTGATGTATTTCATCATATCTTGTGTCATTCGATCTTTGAACTGCTGATGAAGGTACATGTCTTAAAAAAAAAGAAGTATTTAAAATGATAAAAATTTGCTTGGAAGGACAGACATATTTTATAGAAATAGTTACCTTTCATTTTGAAGTAATATTAAAGTATTCAAAAGAAAAAAGCTGACAAATTATGCAAAATCATGCACCTTCTACTTGTTTGCACAATTTTCCCTCCGTTACTTTTCCCTCCGTTACCATGACCTTTCTTAATAAAAAATCTCATTACTCAAAAAGTAAGAGGTTTTTCAACCTAATCTTGTACCATATGGTAGAAAACTATATTAAGCAAATATTCAAACCAGTTTGTTAAGGATATGTAAGTGAGAACCGGTAGTCATCGTTGTTTGTATTTATTGCCCAAAAAGTGCTACATATTTCATTCCCTCCGTTACCGACATGAGTTTTTAAATTTGTCAACAACTTGAAAGAATATCGCGGTTTAACTTTACCCTGTTGGAGTGTTAACTCTTTCCTACATTCTGATACCTTACTTATTTCAATAGTCCCTCTAGTTTCTGAATAAGAGCTATTTGAATGTAAAAAAATCTGCCCCTGCTTCCCTCCGTTACCGCTTAACCGGACCCAAAATACTTTTCCTTTTCGGTCTTGTTCAAAAATATAGTGAAATAGAAAGTACAGATACCTGCTCTCAAATGTAACATAGAATTAAAAGTTATCAGCTTTAAACTGTACTTAGATAAAGTACCTAAAATTTTTACTTACTTTTTACAACTTTTACTTATATAGTACTACTTTTACTTTATAACATTCTACCACTGGGAACAGTAGGTGAGTGTGTTTTTGTGTGTGTAGATGTGTGTGTGTGAGTGTGTGCAGGTGTGTGTGCGTGCGTGTATGTGTGTGTGAGAGATATTGTTGGAGGAGTTGGTGGAGCAGATAGACAGCCATAACTATGTCAGTCTACCCCAGGTCAGCTTCTCCTTCTTCTTCTTCTTCTTCTTATTATTAGTAGTAGTAGTATTACTATTAGTATTCACCACCTGTACAGCTATTTAATGTTGTCCATATGCTGAATTGTGCAACTTACATGTTACCACTTATTGTATTGTTTTGGCCTTTTACTTTTGATTCGGAATGCATATTTTTAATTATCCTGCTGTCTTGTATTTTCTGTCACAACTCTGTAATTTCCTCACACTATTCACACTATTTTCTGATCTCTGTTATAATGTTGTTTCCACATCTAAAAAAAAACCTGCAGTTGTGTTTTGTTTCATTCACACATGTTTAACACAGAAACCCTGCAATGTTTAGGCAGTGTTCTTCTCTCAGTCTGAAAATACTCTGTTCCACCTTGTGATGTAATGTGGTAGTACAGGAGGTGCTCCACTGTGTTTAATCTCCATACACCATCATTAGAATCATTTGGATAATCTCAGTCCTGGAATTTCTAGTAACTACTGAATGTAAGGTAAAGGGTAGTTGAATCTGAAATCTACCGCTTCATAACATCACATGGTGAAACAGAGCATTTTGAGCTTTGAAGATGTGGACAGACTAATACACAAGGATTACTTAAACATGTGTGAATGAAACA